CCAGCCATGCTTATCACATGGTCTTAGATTTGTAAGTGAATAAAGAATACCATCTAGTTTAAAGAGAAAATGCCTCATCATTTTGAATGTGAATTATCTGTATACAACATGAAGCATACTACTGAACCCTGAAACATGCATGTCTAGATTTACCTTCTGTCCAATTACAGGCTGTTTGCAATCTCTTTCTACTTCTAAAACGCCAAGAGGATCCATCTGTAACTGGCTGTACTAGCTGAGGTAGCAATGGTGGCGGTTAAGTGGTACCACTGATTCCACCAACTGTCCTGGATTTAAAGGTGGTGGAGGAGCCACAGTGTTCCCAAGTTTCAACAATTTCTCCATTGTAGAAGAAAAACTGACACTGCTGAATGAATGTTTCAACAACAGATTGATATAAGTTATTGGTAGACAGAAACTCTAGATTTTCAAAATCAGTTCTCATCAAGGTTGGCCAAAAGCAGATGGATCAGTTAGTTGTCTGTTATCAGGAGGTTGTTTTTATTTTGCTCACTCACCCTGTTTAGATGTGTTATATATCTAAACATAGCATAGTTTACTGGATGAAATTTCTTAACAATTTCTTTCAAGGCATGAAGATGTTCTGTTTTGTCCAAGATTTTTGCTGCTTCCAGTAATAGTTCTGGATGAAGAGAATATGAGTGAAAGAATCTAGCAGATCTGCAAAGAAAGCTTTAAGAGCTCCAACTACAGCATTTACTGTTCTTCCACTGATACTAGGTAGATACAATGATCCTGATCAAACTGCTTTTAAATATTGCCTTGATCAGTTTTGTTTCTGTTAACACAGTGGAGTCCTTCAGTATGTAATCCTGTATCTCCAAGACATTCCAAACATACTTCAACAAACAGTGGTATGAGCTTCTGGGCTGTAATCAGATCCTGGAGGGACATCCCAAAGTAAATGCTTTCCCAATTTCTATGTGTTTGTAGACTGAAGTTCTTAGTTTTCTGCTTCTTATTTTCTTTTACTTTGTGAGTTTTCTTCTTCATCTTCTTATCATCTACCTACTGGTCAGAAGTGACTGCAGGATTATCAATATCACCTTTCCAAGTTTATCTTAAGAGATATTTTTAAATATCAAATATGACTTTCTGTATTTTCATAATCATTTATGTTCAAGAAATGTTACTTTTTAATATGTCAATCTCTATTTATTTTTAAAGGGAGAGTTTTGTTATAGGGTGTGTGCACTCACCAGAAAGAAAGAAAGTGAGAAATCATCCCCCAGAGTGGATGGCTATCCCTTCTCCTCCATTCTCCTATAGGGATCCTGGGCATGCAAACAAGGCCTGGAACTCAAAACAGCAGTTGACTATGTGGGAGTCCAGCGATGCAACCATTATGCCATGCGCTGGTCCCTGTATCTACTTATTTTTAGCCATTAAACTTTTTATTTTCTTTTATTTGGCTATAGGGTGTGTGCACTAACTGGAGAAACATGAGAGAGAGAAAGCAAACACCAACAGGGGTATGGTCACAATCCCTTCTCCATGTCTCCTCAGGATTTCGGGCACACATGCACAGGCGCCGGGCATGTTTCTCAAGCCAGCAGGTCTGCGACTTGAACTGTGCGGTCAGTCAGCCATGTGGAATCCGGCTGTCTTCACCACCACACCACCAACTGGCTCCACCAAGTTCAATTAACAATGAGAGCTGTAGAAGTTCCTCTGCAGGGTGGCTTAAAGCCATTTCCACAGTTTTCATTAACAAAAAAAAAAAAAAAGATTTTAGAGGCTTTTTTTGCCTTAGGGTGTGGGTGATCTCCAGAGACAGAGAGAAAGAGACAGCGAGAGGGAAAGTAAGAAATCACCCCCCAGGAGGGATGGCCATGCCACAATCCCTTTTCCTCCATTCTCCTTCTGGGATCTTGGGCACGCATGCACACACGCCCAGAATGATTTTCAAGCCACCAGGTCTATGGTGCAGGAGTCAGCTATTAAGGACTCCAGATCTAACCACTATGTCATCTGCTGGTCTCACCAAAATGCTTTAAACAAACTTTTATAAGAAGTAAAATAAGAATGTCAAAATAAATTATAGACATACAAATGACCAAATGGGTCCTATGCCTTTTTACTTACACCACTGTTTTTCTTTATTTAAGGTATTACATAATAATTCTATTTCCCTTGCCTGAAATCCTAAAAAAATATATAAAATGCTTAGCACAATGCCTGATCCGTCAGGGATATTCTGGGCGTTAGTTCTCTTTTCCTTCTAATAATCAATGTGAAGATCCATTCCTATAATGGTTTCAAGCATATTATATTATTAAATAATGAGTTTATTCCTTTTAATGCTTATTGCTATACAAATACATGACTCCTGAACTTGATATTATCTTACCTACACTAAATTGTTTCCTGTTATTTCCATTGACATTTCCTATTGCCTGGAAATAAATACATTTTATTTCAATTTGTATTCTTTAGATGGCATTGCTTCATCTCTATACTTCCAGCCAATCCTTGCTGACATACACCAGAGACAGATTTCGGGTAGGGAAGAGGGAGAATAATGGTATTTTAAAATGAATCTGATTCATCAATTAATGTTAAGTATACTAACCATCATCCACTTGGAATCCGGCTCCCTTAACCACTGGGCTAGGGGGCAGCCCAATTTTTGTATTTTTAATAACACTATATGTGCTGCACTCTCACGTCTTCATGTGTTTTCAGTGCCTGCCCACAACAAACACTTAAGGAAATCGCCCAGAAACGGATGTTGTGTGTCATACAGTTTGAGGCAGAAGGGGAGATTATTTATTCTGAGATTCTTAACTATGTGTCTGTCGGAAGGTTTTTACACCATGAAGACACGAGCTCATGGTACAGATTCTCTCTGATTCTGCTTCCCTGTATCCCCCACTGCTCATAAAAAAACTGCTGCATTAGGATGTGATCACACTTGGTGGCTCTACTTTGGGATACCATCTGACCATTAAAAATTATTTTTAAGAATAAATACATTTTATTTATTATTATTATTATTTTAATTTGCTATAGGGCACATAAGCTCACCAGGGAGAGGAGAGATTTTTGTATTTTTAATAACACTATATGTGCTGCACTCTCACGTCTTCATGTGTTTTCAGTGCCTGCCCACAACAAACACTTAAGGAAATCGCCCAGAAACGGATGTTGTGTGTCATACAGTTTGAGGCAGAAGGGGAGATTATTTATTCTGAGATTCTTAACTATGTGTCTGTCGGAAGGTTTTTACACCATGAAGACACGAGCTCATGGTACAGATTCTCTCTGATTCTGCTTCCCTGTATCCCCCACTGCTCATAAAAAAACTGCTGCATTAGGATGTGATCACACTTGGTGGCTCTACTTTGGGATACCATCTGACCATTAAAAATTATTTTTAAGAATAAATACATTTTATTTATTATTATTATTATTATTTTAATTTGCTATAGGGCACATAAGCTCACCAGGGAGAGGAGAGAAAAAAGGTAAAAAATGAGAAAGCAAGCTTCCAGGTCCAAGACTCATACCACAGTTGGCCATGTGAGATTCTAGTGCCCCAACCACTATACCACGTGCTGGTCCCAACCATAAATCTCACTGACATAAACATAACCTTTCATTCCATTATACTTTGTGTTTATCATTTAAAATAACCATACTTCGAGATTACAAAATCTCAGAGTGAGAGAGTTCATACCATCTCAACATAGCCCATTTGCCTATTTCCTGTCTTCACAGACTTGGTCACTACATAACAAGAATAAATTATACCAGTAAGCTCTAACGAATTAAAAATTAAATTCAACCTAAAAACCTAGAAATAACGTAATTATATGAAATGAATTACTCCGTTGTATTTTGTCAAGTTCAAAGATGATTTGTTTGAAATGTTTGTCTCACCAAAAAAAGTCCAGTTACACTGAACAGAAAGAGTAATGTCCTCAAATCAAATGAAACAACATTTTGCTTGTCCTCTATCTTCAGAGAAGAAAGAATTTTACAGGGAAAGTTTTCCAAATAATACGTTATCCATTTCAACACCCAAACTCATTTTACTTGGGCCATTTTGCATAGAAATGTTCTTACTTGTATGCCGTACTTCACACCACTCAGGGTACTGAACCGAATTTAAGCCTGTATTAATGGCTACGGTCTGTCACTGTGACTTTAAATTAGGTTACCAGGATGTATCTGAGACAGTTTCAGAACACTGAAAAATGCAAGGCAGTTTGCTCCTACTCCAAATAGCCCCCCAGAGGGACAAGTTCTTACATCTACATTTTAAGACTTTTTCCTGTTCCTTGGGCCAGACCATGGTACAGTGGTTAAGGCAGCTGGATCTTACATGGCCAACTGTGTAGTTTGAATCCTGGACCCAGTAGCTTGAAAAACACACCGGTCACATGTGTGTGCCTCCCCAAAATCTTAAGAGGAGAATGGGGAAGAAGGAAGTATGCCATGGCCATCCCCTCTGGTGAAGCTTTCTCACTATCCGTCTCTCACTTTCTGTCTCTCTGGCAATTGCATGCCCCTGGTAGTCGTCCTGTTCTTTAATAAAGACTTGCGCTCATCACTTTTCTAGAGTGTTTTTCACTTATCTACTAAGTTACTGCTTCTGAACAGTGGTTGGTAAGGAGTAATCCTATTACAGAGCAAGAATGAACACACTAGAGTGAGAGTCTCCATTTAAAACCTTCTGAACAGTGGTTGGTAAGGAGTAATCCTTTCATAGAGCAAGAATGAACGCACTAGAGTGAGAGTCTCCATTTAAAATGGACATGAGCCTCGAGCACAGTGTGACTAAGTCTAGCGATTCAGAAGGCATTTTCAATCATTTCTACTTCAGGACTACATCAGATGGCTGTGTTTTCTGGGAAATGAATGACAAATGATCAGTCTACAGTAACAATTCTCTGTGTACTGTCTTGTCCAGTACTATTATCATTTTTTAAAATATTATCATTAGAAAATAAAATCCATAATGTAGAAAGTCTTACCTGAGGCACGCCTTGTGAATCGGTTTATTACTGGAGCTAAAAGAAAAAGAGCAAATAACATGATCAGATTAAAAATCAAATTTTCCCAAATCCCTAAAAAAAAATTCAAATTGGCAAGTGATCTCATAATTTAGTACAGAAAAAAGTAATTAGAAAATAATATAAGAAGAAATACCAAAAGTGTGTGAAAATCAAATGTTTAAATTCACTGATTAATGACATAAATTTTATCTATTAGTTTCCCCAAAATAAATTAATAAAAATCCCTAGATATAGACAGTTAAAGCTTCTTATCTAAAAATAGCATAAATCTAGATATAAAATACCTTCAGACAATAATCTAGCAATTATTGCCATAAAATGTGTATAATTTAATGAATTCTACTCTTAGAGATTTATCTTAACAAAGCCCAGGTGCATGTGTATCACATGATGGTAGTCATTGCTACTCGATTGAGGAGGCCACATGGTAGGCTCGGGTTTGATTCCTGACCTACTCTAAAAGCTGAGCACAGTAGTAGGGGCCTGTAGTACCAGCTACTTGAGGCAAAAGGATGGTGACAGCGAGACTGTATAAACATATACACACACACACACACACACACACACATAAAGTACTAGTAGGGAAGGAAAAAAAAACTAAGACATGAATAAATCTATTCAGCAGCATCGTTTTCAAAATGAAAAAAATTAGAAAATAACTTTAAAAATGCTCATTTAAACTGAAATCATTTTTAGGTGAAACACAGTATACCCTTCAAAGTCTCAGGTTTCATTATCTGTGGCTTTGAAAACGTTTGTGCAACTCGGATTTCCACCACGTGCATACCGAAGGCTGCAATTTCAGGCTGGTCTGTGCATCACTCAGCTAGCAGGCCTACCATCTGCTCCCTCCCCCGATTCAATGCAGCTCTGCGTTTCTTCTTGGTTTTGCGGACATGATTATCTCAAGAAGTCAGGTTGTTTTTTTTCAAATGCTTCTTTCTTGAAAGCAGCAGATAAGATTATGCTTCGTATTATATACAAAATGGACATCAAGTACTACACAGTATGCTTTGGTGGCAAAATGTCATAGGCCTACTATAATACTTAACAGTTTTAAAACAGTAATTATGAAAGTTGTTCCTACTATGTGACTTCAATCAAATAAAAATAGAAGATTATACATTTTTATCAGCCCTATGTTTATACTACATGAAAAAATATGAATGCAGAGGATTAAGTACTGGAAAAAAGCTGTGTATCAGGTGTTTCACATTAAGCCTTATACCCATACTATTAAATATCAGCACCTTCATGTTACTGTGGAGGAAATTTTATAATAAGGCTAAATTGATTAGCTTGCTTTAGATCACATGGCCACCCTGCGGCAGAGCAGTAGGGTTTGGTGCTAGTGGTATCTAGCACCAAACTGCTGTCTCAAGAGAAAACAGAAAGTGAAAATACAGATTCCTAAAATTACAGAAGAAATATTTTTCTTCCATCTTGATCTTCATTGTTATTAAAGATTAATTCTGTGAAATACAGCAAAATTATATCATTCAAAGTGACCGAAAGATAAAATGTTTATGATTTTCTTACCAAAGTACTCTAGCCATATATTTGCAGACCCAAATTACTTACATAAAAACTTTCATCAGATAAATTGTAAGGTATGTGTATTTTACCATCATTCTCCCCCCAATACACAAAAGGTTCATCAAGATTTTTGGGAAAATTTCAATCCCCCTTTTCAAAATTCTTTCAGAACTGAATCTAAAGACAGCCTTCCCAACAAGCTAAAGAACAGTAAATGTAGACAAAGTGAAAAAAAAAAAAAAACCACAACCATGAGAATGCAAACAGAGTGTATGGGCAGATAAGGAAAGATGAAGGTTAAAAACCTATCTCAGCCTCAGGGCAAAAATAGAGTGGACATGCTCAGCCCTCCTGCCCCTTCCAGCCTCTCTAGGTGATGAAACCACAGGTCTGTGAGCTTCTGGTTTGAAAAGCTCGGAAGCCTTTGTTCTCCTGGGCTCTTCAGTTTCTGTGTCTTTCTAAAGTGTTTTAAGGCAGATTTTCTACACAAGAGGCACTACTACCTAGGCGATTTCTAAATTTGTGGGGGTGATTTTGATTTTTATAGCAATTCAGAGGACAGTCTTGGCATTGAGCAGGCAAACTCCAAGACTGTCCGGCATGACAAAAACCGTCCAGCAACCTACAGCTTTTGTCCTGCACAACTTCAAATATCCCACTGAGCATTCCTGTTGATGAAAAAAAGAGAAAGAAAAAAAAAAAGTCCATTTATAACTATCTGGGCTGAGATCCTAACATGGTGTTATATATACACATGATTATTTTATGCAGTTTTATACACACCAAATTTTCCACAACGCAGCTACAACGTATATCCAAGGAATTCTGTTCTTTTTCGTATTTTGTTTTGTTTGAAATTCCTAACAGATATTCATCATTGCAGAAAGCCGTGCCACTGCTGCAATGCCATAGGCCACTATGCCACTTGTGATACATGGACGTCTGATCAGACTGTATGTGCATCTTTCATATTCTTAGTGATTCTACCTACAGGCAGCTTGAGTACATAATGGAGCACAGACCTTCTGAAATACACTTTACTTCCTATACATTCTTTTCCTTTATTTGTCCTATGTATTTTTGCAAAACTTCTACATTGTGGGCAGGTAAGTGCTAAGACGATGATTTTAGTTCCTGACAGTAAATGGGGCATAGGATTGGACCATGAAGAAGATGAGTGCACCAAATAAGTGTGAGGCAACTGTCAAGGTGAATACTGGGTTTTGACAAGGACTAAATGTCGGAATCGTCATATCCATCTCTCTTCATATCCATTTGCAAAGAGGAAACATACATTGCCCATGCAAATTTTGGCAATTTAACAATCACCTTCATAATTTTTCTAGGTTTTAAGTCCCTGTACCAAAATAGGGAAGAGGAATGGGATTCAGGGTGGAAGCCTTTTGAGCAAAGATATGGCTGGTGTTTTCTCTTTTAGAAACCGAGGTCAGGAAGGAGAGCAGGAGAAGATGAAGATCAGAACTCCCTGCTGTCTCTGACCCTGGGCATCACTGGCAGTAGGAATAGTGGGACAGGGCACAGGTGGGGCACCAACTAGCCGGCAAGAGCCTTGGGTACCACTACTTGTCCCACTGTCCTCTTTGAAAAGAGGGGTGAATCATAACAGTTAGACTTAAATTCCTGATTTATGAAATAAGGAAATAAAGCCTTTCCTCTATCTTTTAGGGGGGTTTTATGAAAGAAAAAAATTCTTTGGAAGCATCAACTATAAATTCCTATTTAAATGTAAGAGACTGATGCTTATTTATTGTGAATTAATACTGCCATTTTTAAATACACATGAAAAGCAGTACAAGTTCTGAACATTAACAGATGAAGATCTTTTAAAATGTTTAAGAAGTCAAATTAATTTTTTTCAAACTCTTCATTTCTACCTTTAGATTGTCATCTTCTCTGATATTCTATAAGTATACATGTGAACACACACACAGAAAATACTAGAGAACAGAACAAAGAAAAAAAAAAGCAATGTTATCTGTCTAGAATAATAAATATGACCTAGGAATATACCCCTAACATATTTAACAGGCTGTAACCTAAGGTCTTAGTTTTAAAATGTTTAAGAAGTCAAATTAATTTTTTTCAAACTCTTCATTTCTACCTTTAGATTGTCATCTTCTCTGATATTCTATAAGTATACATGTGAACACACACACAGAAAATACTAGAGAACAGAACAAAGAAAAAAAAAAAGCAATGTTATCTGTCTAGAATAATAAATATGACCTAGGAATATACCCCTAACATATTTAACAGGCTGTAACCTAAGGTCTTAGTGAATCCCCAAAGAAGAATACAGAAGTATTTATGTAGGTTTGACTTTCTCCTAAACGCCATTCCAGTGAAACACTGAGAATTCTGTGTTCCTATAAATATCTTCATGCTTGTATAACCAGAGATCCCTTCACTTGCCAAACTATATTCTACTAGATTGGTTTTAGTGCTAGCACTCCCAGGAGATCCAGAAATGTAACTGATTCAAATCTTCTTTAATCCTGGAGTACCCTTAAAAGAAAAATCCTCCATTACTTTAGGTCAACAGAAGGAGTCTCTCGATTCCTGGCAGTGAAAACAGCTTCACACATCTGCTTGACTCTGCGTTCTGTACCAGCATCAGCATTTTTTCACCTGCTCACCTCTTACTGCCTGGCAGATAAAAGGTACTGAGTAAATACCCGCAGAATGAGTTAATTAACTCTGTAAAGTAAACAGAGCAATTCTGTCTCCACTAACTTCACTGTTATACTGAGTGTAGAATATGGGTGTTACCATCTAAGAATTCCTGCCCTGGAAGAGCTTGACCAAGATTAGTTGTACTTTCAAAGGCAATGGTTTCAAAGGCTTACACGCTACAAATAGCTACCTTAGAAAAATTCGGGTGAGGGACCAGCAGGTGGCATGGTGGTTAAGGGTGCTGGATTCCCACATGGCCGAACGCAGTTCAAGTCTTGGACCTGGTGGCTTGCTCTCTCACTCCCCGCCCTCCGCCTGATCAAAGTAATAATAATAATAATAATAAAGTTAAATAAAATAATTCTTTTAAAAAATATAGGACCACAGGCTTTATATAAATTACTTGCAGAAGTGTCAGTACAACAAACCTGCCATATTATATTTCTTAGAAATGAGTCACTACATTGGGACCAGCAGGTGGAGTGGTGGTTAAGGGCGCTGAACTTCCACAGGGCGGACCACAGTTCAAGTTCCAGACCTGGTGGCTTGCTTTCTCACTTTTTTCTCACCTTGTCTGTCTGTCTGTCTTCTCTCTCTCCCTCTCTAGTCAAATTTTTTTTAAAGTAAATAAAGCCCAATAAAATAATTTTTTAAAAAAAGAAATATTTGGGTGAAAGGAAATCCTGTGGAAGACAACTAAAAAAACTCAAGATAGTCTATAAAAATAAAAGTGGTCAGTTGAAAGCATATAGCAATGAATCAAT